TGCTGAAAGATGAGCCACATCTGCTTCTATTGTGTCACTTCTGTGGAAATTGGGCTTGGTGTTCATAAATTTCAATCAAGTACCTCTTAAATGGTGTCCTTAAAAGCGAGTGTGTCTGAGGGAGGAGAAAAAAAAACCCAAATACAGTAATTTAGCACGAGTTTCCTTGCAGCACAACATCTCACAGGACTGAGACATATGAACTACTGTCTGTCCTCTGCTTTCCAGCAAGCAGGACCAATCTCAGAATGAAATCTCATTCAGTATTTCCCTTCTGCTCTACCAGTAAAATATTTCTGTAAGTTGAAAAGGGCTAGCTCTTTAAAACTAGTGTATTCAAAATATTGTCCATAGAGCACCATTTCTAAATATTCAGGACAATCGAAAAGAAGAAGAAGAAAAATGCTATCTAGATTTTACTAGAAGGCAAGGGAATGAGAAGAAATGACAGACATGCATGGGAAAGCTACGGGGAGAAATTTCTTTCCTGAAAGCAAATCACTTCCCAAAGATAAATTGAGCCAGTCAATTTGCTTGGATGGCTCTATGCTTGACCTAGCTGAAGCCAGGCTTCTGCTCTAGCAATTGCATCTTGTCCAGAGATGGCAAAGGTGACAGATTCAAGTTTGTGGTTGGCAACAGAACAGTGTCGGTGCCTTTGATGCTGTAAATTTTACCTGCAGAACTAATTTAAGGTGACATAGACACAATTAATGTGAAGTGACACAACTGTGATCTGAAAATGAGGTAACAAAATAGAACTGTCAGGGTGCTTCCTTGTGCCATGATAAATGATGTCATCTCTTTCAGAACCCTGTGGATGACAGGAAAGCTTTAACCCCATGAGTTACGGTATTATATCCAAGAAAAACAAAACTGGGTTACAGTTATAATGCAAGCTTATGCAATCCAGGCATTGGGCTTGCAGCCTTGCCATATACCATCACATAGTCCACACTGAAAATCTACATGGTCTACACTGAAAATCTCTATGCCTGTTTCAAGAAGTGGATCCTTCCTGGGCGCCCAGGCTCAGGCTTTTCAGTATCTGTGTATAAACCATATTAGTCATCAGGTCTAGTTATACCATATTTTTGCTTATACATGTTCATAAATTCTGGGTTTGCTTAAGCATTTGTTTTTGTGCAGTCAGTCCTGAGTAAACAGAAAACTGCCAAGTTTTTGCGTGTAAAAACCGCTGCTGCTTAAAAACAAATGGAATAGTAACCCTTCCATTCAACACACAGGCAGTTGCAATAATATTTTATCTGACAATCAAATCCTTTCCCAGAAGAAATCATACTCTTAATTAGGTAAAATATTGCCCATGAAGGCTAGCAGTTCCTTAAAAGCAAGTTGAAATAAGCACATCAGGCAGTTCATAGTGCATCCCTGCTTTCCCTTTTCTCTGGACCAAAGAAATCGTTATTGCTCTTCAGTTCTATGAATTAACTAAAGAGATAATCAGAAGGGTCTTCTCAGCCATGTCAAGATAGGGAAGTGAGACTCACACTTTTGCTCTCCTTCCATGTCCCTTGCTCTAATGCCCCTGCTTTTTGTCTTGCAGAGTCTAGCACTGCTGACCAATGCACTTGCAACTTGCTGGCTAGTTTTACCGGCACTGTTAGCCAAGGAAAGTGAATGAAATAGGGTTATAGCCAGAGCTTCTCCTGTAATATGTAACCTTTCGCAGAGGAGTCCTGCTGCCCTGTGACTTGATATGCAGCTATGTATGTATCACTCGAGTGACACCTACCTACCGCTTAATCAAAGAATCCCACTCACTCGATTTCTTGCTTTTTGGCTTTGGGCACACTGCGTGACGTGCAGCAAGCTGAAATTATACATGTGCCCCACACAGTGCTTGCTTACTGGCACATTCCAAGTGCTGGGAATGAGCTTGGGCCTGCAGCTGGTGGGGTACGCTGGCCTGCATGACACTCCTCACGAATAAAGTACTCCTTGGTGCATGTACAACAGGGCAGAGGCTCACACCCCTTTTCTCCTCTTACCAGAAAAAGCATTGTAGTTAATGATTCATTTACAGCCATATCACTATGTACCCCTCAAAGCTGCTTGAGATTAATGTGTTTTTATATCCATTAAAGTGCAAGCAGAACGTGTTCAACATTTCCACTAACAACTTCTGAACTTGTTTACTAATAGCTGTACTTTTAACTAATAAAATGACAATGCGGTGTGTAGGCTGTGTGATAAAAGACTTGTCTGCACCCACACAAAAGAGCAATGGGGAACGACGGCTGGTGGAGGAGCCCCCACAAGGCCCAAAGGAGGCCTTGCCCCAACCAGGACCGCACAAGGAGAGCCATGAGCCTCATGCTCCAGGTGTGAAACCTACCGCGGCTAGTCAACAGGAGTGTCTCTCTGGATTGTCTTTGGGACTGAGCAGGGTTATTGCCTGGGACACGTGATGGCAGCCAGAGGAGGAGCGTTTTGGGATTACATAAGACTTGTTATAGGATATTTAGGGGAGGAAGCAAAGAGGAGAGGAAAGGGAAGGCTTGTGGTGGTTCAGGAAGCAGCAGTGTGGAGATACACTAGCAGGAAAAGGGCATAACAGCCAGTCACACTTGAGCAGGTTGCTGGTCAGTATGCTTGCATGGCCATGCCCTGTGCATGATCAGCACAGCCTGTCCTATCTTCTATTAAATTTAATTTCCATTGATTTTCTTGGGCAAGATGCTTGCTATTCTGTGTCCGGGGGTCCTGGCCAGCTGACGGAGACCGTGAGGCCTGGAGGTTGCCTTAGTCCCACGTGCCTGCAGACGTGTGTATGTGTCTTATTGTGCAGAGACACCTGAAAAGAGAGACACTCCAGGGGCTGCTTCTGCATGAACTAAATCCAGCTGTTGCTCACTGTGTATACATACATATAAATGTATTTCCCCCTAACAGATCTTCTTCCTGATCAGCCAGAAAGGAGAATAGGGTGAGGTTTTCAGTGCTGCTTGTGTTTGTTCAAGTGCTGTGCAGGTTTTTGTTGATCTCTGTGGCTGACATATGTACATAGGCATATATGCATGTGTTTGGGTGCTACTGGGAATACATCCTCCACCTTGCTACTGGTTACATCTGGGGACAAGGAGTTGCAGCAGTCTGGAAAAGGCTTTTTACAGTTCTCTGGAAGCAGAAATGACTATTCTTAGCTTGCATAAGCAAATATTCTAAGTAAAATGAGTTTCTCCTTTCATTTTTCATACACCACAATATAAAATCCTTGGAAGATTTTCTTGCACTTGGTGACGCAAGTCTATCCAATTTCTTGCACTGTTTAGGTCAGGTCATTTAGACAGGTAATTTACAGTGGAATGGTACCTGTTCAGAGAACAGAATTTAGTTTATGACTAAAATGGCCAGCACTTGTCTGGATTAGGAAATTACCTTCAGGAAATTTTTCTTATACCAGGAAGAAGTTACTGCATTTTAAAAAAAAGCAAAATGAAAATATTTATAGCTTGCCTTCATCAGTAAGTCACTGTTTTAAGGACTGATTGATATTCTGATAGCATAAGGAATGTCTGAAAAGGCATTGGCTGTTAAAGAGTTTCAGCATCTGAGGTGCCTGCAATTAACAGTTTTATCTTTTTAATAGTCTTTCTCTTGGAAGAAGAAAAGAGCATTAAAGTGGCACTATTAGCATCCAAAACATACTTAGTAATATACTGAAAAGTCTAATGTAGACTAGACTCTAAAAGCTTTAATTTAAGAGGGTCATACTAAAACATGAACGTTGCCGGGCAGCTTATCACATGCCGAGTCACCCCCTCACATTGACATCCATATGTGACGGTGCCGTATTTCTCATCCTCGTATAGGAAAAGTCAACAAGAGTGTCAAAGTCACCTGCGCTCATCACAGCAGGAAGATGAAAGATTCAGTGGCACCTAAAGGCTACAAGATGCTTCCAGCAGCCAAGTGTCCCATTGGGAAGGTGCTGCCCGGGAAGTGACAGATGTTGCAATCCTGTCCTTTTGATCTAAGTTATGCAGTTAATACTGTATGTTCTGTGAAAAACTCAGTCTCTACTCACATTTTTGTGTGGATTTCTTTTCCTGATTTATGGCCAAGGAATAAAAGGAAGAGCATATATATGTATATGCCTTCTTTTATGTATCTATCTAAATATACATATTATATATAATCATAGAATCATAGAATCTTTAAGTTTGGAAGGGACCTCTAGAGGTCATCTAGTCCAACCCTCCTGCACATGCAGGGTCGCCTAGAGCACGTGGCACAGGACTGCGTCTAGGTGGGTTTGGAAGATCTCCAGAGAAGGAGACTCCACAACCTCTCTGGGCAGCCTGTTCCAGTGCTCTGTCACCCTCGCTGTTAAGAAATTTTATGTATATATATCTATGTATTTTAAGCTCATATCTGAATTGTTTGTTACCAACTTTTAAAGTCCCTTGGCAAAGTCTACCAACAGTGCCAATATTTATGTAGCAGTATTTAAATAACTTAGCAGTTTTTCAGAGTGCTCAGGAGAGGAAAACTAAACCCAACACTGTCAGGGAAACAGAAGCCATTGGGAAGGCTCCTTTCTGTGGCGATGACTGTCCCATCACAGCTACATCCCATCCGCTTTGCAGATGGGGTCTTTTCTCCTTGCAAACATTTCGACTCCTGCAGCCCCTTGAGGAGAGGGGATGGTTGCTGGGGGTTGCTGTGGCCAACGCTGCAGGGGCACTGGGTCCTCCTGAGAAGGCAAAAGGCACATTTAGGGCAAGAGAGGCTCCGCAGTGCTGTTTTGGGGCTGGTTTTGGCAGACTCGGGGAGGCCCGAAGGGCCCTGCCCGACACCGGGTCCCGACTCCGCTCCCGCCCCACTATCACACGCAGCTGGCGCGCGCGCACGCGCCGCCAGCGG